TGCCAACAATTTCTAGACCATCTATGTATTCCAAAACCAAAGACGGAGGTTATGCGCTTCTTATTACAGTGGAGACACCAGGAGCTCACCAAGACAGTAGCTAAGTTCCTCTATTTGATTTTTTGTCGCCGAAGGATGCTACAGGATCCTGCCCTTGCTGGAAACCCTCAGAGATGAGGCGGATTGCTGTGCCTTTGGGGTGGTGACGAGATCTCATTGGCCTATCTATTTTAAATGTATTCTGAATGTTCTTATGTGATGCAAATAAAGGTTACTTGACTTGACCAGGTGAGCAGTTGGCCTGATCCATCAATCTGTTGTGTCCTTTTGATTTAGTAGCCACACAGATCTACCTGCTATGTGATTTAAGTAGGTGTCCTGTGAAATTTGGAGCCTGAAAATGTGTAACTGCAGCCCCGATTATCAGAAAGCACAAACCCAGCCATTTCTCTGCTCTTTGCAGGTCGTGTGTGTGTGTGTGTCACTTTCAACCACCTTGTGAAGGACACCACAACTCCTTTCCTAAGTTGCATTGTGTTGAAACGTTTGCATTGGATTTATTGTCTCAGGTCCTTGGTTCTATTTCAAAGCAAAGTCACAGAAGTGGAAAGGCAGATATACAAGCCGTGGTAGGTTCCGTTGTGAATTTTATACATGCTTTATATATTTATATATTTTTTTAAAAATACCTTCTGCATTGGGAGGAAAGAACAGATTCTGTCCATTATCGGGAGATTATAATCGAGGCCTCGGATTCGCCAGACTTTTGTAACTTACTCGTCTACTTTGCATCCTGGGTACCAGGATAATAACACGCAGGACGTTGTGCTGGGTTCGAATCACAGAATTGTCTAGTCCAACCCCTTGCAACGCAGGATAAGTGACGGGGTTACTGACAGTAATAAAAGTATTGTTACCAAATCTTGCATCACTCTTTAGACGCTCCCGCCCCTCAAGCTGCCAAATAATTTAAAGAGTTGAAAGTTTTCTGGAAACAAGGTGTATTGATCTTGTTAGTGCTTGGGATTCAACTCTCTCAACACAGAGAGTCCTCCTTACATCCCTGCGAGGTAGACCAGGATAGTGCCCTCTTTACAAAGGGGGAACTGATGTGCCCAAGGTTATGCCAGAGCTGGGATTCAAACCCAAGTCTGCGTCCAACTCATTCCCTGCCCTGGACCCTTCTCCTAAGATTTTCCTCTGCGGATCATATTCCTACCCCGGCCATGTGCGGAGCGGGGATTGCCAGTATTCCTTGCGAGTAGGGGTGTGGCTCAGCGGAGGAGAGCGTTTGCCCTGCATGCAGAAGGATCCCTAAAGGCAACTCCAGGAACGACTGGGAGAGGAACTTCCCCTGAAATCTTGGGAGAGCTGCTGTCAATCAGTGCAGACGACGCTGAGATGGACCACTTGGTCTGACTCGACAGAGGCAAGGTTCCTGGGTTTCTACTTGGGGTGGGTCAAAGCTCTGTGGCAGAACAGCTGCACTGCATGCAGAAGGCCCCAGCCTCAGTCCCCAACACTTCCAATGTAGGGCTGGGAGCAACGCTCGCCTGAAGAGATGCTGCCAGTCTGTGCAACAATAAGTAACCAAACAAACCCCTGTGCTGCGAAGAGAACGTCAGCAATGTCTAGGCAACACAATGACGACGTACATACACAACAGACAATCTTTATAGAATTCCTTCAAACCATAACAAGTCCAAAATGAAATCTTTAGTCTCAAAGTCTCTGGAAATCTTTAAATGAAGCGAGGTACCAGACTTTGTACGATGAAAGACAAGCTGTGAAGCTTTGCGTATTCAGCAAATGTGATGTCCAACACTGAACAGTGATTCAGGGTATTGACTACTGTTACGTAGAATTTTACGTGGAACAGTGCTCATGTAGTAATGTAGTCGCTGCATTTGATATTTTCATTTACGTACATTCATTCGAAATAAGATGGGTTTATGAAGCAATTCTATATCATTCCACCACGCTGACGAAGATCTACGAAACAGCAGTCAGTATCCGGAATCACCATTCAGTGTTGGACATCACATTTGCCGAATACACAAAGCTTCACAGCTTGTCTTTCATCGTACAAAGTCTGGTGCCTCGCTTCGTTTAAAGATTTCCAGAGACTTCGAGGCTAAAGATTTCATTTTGTCCTTGTTATGATTTGAAGGAATTCTATACAAATTGTCTATTGCGTATGTACATGGTCATTGTGTTGCCTAGACATTGCTTCCAGTCCGTGCAAGGCAGCTTCTGATGAACTGATCCTTTTGCAAAGCTCACAAGGAGTGTCGCGCACCCAACGACTGCCACCCTTTGCTCCGGAAACATCACAGCGGTATTTTGAGAAGGTGAAGTCACAGGGCTTGCACTGGCTGGCGGAACAACCAGCCTGATTTCTAGCGGAGAGCATGCAATTTTAGGAGGACTCTGCCAGTGTGGAAATGGGACTTGAGAGCTGAGGACCCTGGTGGGAAAGGAGCTCCAAGCTTAACGGAAAAGAGTTGGGACACAGAGTTGGGTTTGGAGGCGGTTGGAGGATGGATGGCGGCTAACAGATTGAGATTGAATCCTGAAAAGACAGAAGTACTGTTTTGGGGGACAGGAGGCGGGCGGGTGTGGAGGATTCCCTGGTCCTGAATGGGGTAGCTGTGCCCCTGAAGGACCAGGTGCGCAGCCTGGGAGTCATTCTGGACTCACAGCTGTCCATGGAGGCGCAGGTCAATTCTGTGTCCAGGGCAGCTCCATCTGGTATGCAGGATGAGACCCTGCCTGCCCACAGACTGTCTCGCCAGAGTGGTGCATGCTCTAGTTAACTCCAGCTTGGACTATGCAATGTGCTCTACGTGGGGCTACCTTTGAAGGCGACCCGGAAACTACAACTAATCCAGAATGTGGCAGCCAGACTGGTGACTGGGAGCGGCCGCCGAGACCATTTAACACCAGTCTTGAAAGACCTACATTGGCTCCCAGTCCGTTTCCGAGCACAATTCAAAGTGTTGGTGCTGATCTTTAAAACCCTAAACGGCCTTGGTCCAGTGGACCTAAAGGAGCGTCTCCACCCCCATCGTTCTACACGGACACTGAGGTCCAGCTCCAAGGGCCTTCTGGCGGTTCCCTCACAGGTAACCAGGCAGAGGGCCTTCTCGGTAGTGGCACCCGCCCTGTGGAACGACCTCCCACCAGATGTCAAAGAGAACAACAACTACCAGAGTTTTAGAAGACATCTGAAGGCAGCCCTGTTTAGGGAAGCTTTTAATGTTTGATGTATTACAGTATTTTAATATTTTTTGGAAGCCGCCCAGAGTGGCTGAGGAAGCCCAGCCCGATGGGCTGGGTATAAATAATAAATTATTATTATTATTATTATTATTATTGGGTTTGCCAACGTGGTGCCGCTGCGTTCTTGAGGGCTTCTGCCACTGAGCCTCCCTACGGATCATCATCTTCTACAAGAGAGCCCCAAACCACTGTCAAACTGCAGCTCACATCTATTAAAAAAGAACGCGGTTCCAAGTGGATCTGCTTGAATTCCATTGGCTCTTTCTACAGATCCTTTGCAAAAGTGATGAGTGCGTTTGTCTGCACGTGTGTGATAGAGAGACGCTATCTGGGAGAGAAGCTCAGGCAGTGAGAGTTTCTTCCCAGCCCTTCCACTTTTAATTAGAAAGTTTTAATTAGGTGGCTCAGGGTTTCAAGCTGGGATGCACAACATGCACAGCCTTTCTGCAAATACTCTTCTCAAACAAGCAGTTTCAAGCTTCTCCTCCTCCTTTGCTTCTACTGGGCTTTCCTTGTCATCCCATCAGTCATTTTGCCTCCCCCATCAGATAAGACTGGTCCCATTTTCCTTCTGGAACAGGGAGCATAGATGCTCCTAATGAATGCTTTGGTCCCTGAAGGAGGGGATCCAAAAGCTCTCCCCCGCCCGGGCACAATATCGCAATAAACTAAAGGACGGCCAGTTTTCAGAGCTTCTTGGGGTGACAATATGATTGTACCCCCTGGTTATGGCTTAAGGAGGACTCTTGCTCCCAATATTGCCTCAGCCTGTCCTGAAAACAGCCATCAAGCAGCTCTTGCCCCCCAGCTCCAGTGCTTAAAGTCTTCCCAGCTACTTCGCTGCCATCTGCCCTTATCACAGAATCGTAGAGGGACCCTGCGGGTCATCCAGTCCAGCCCCCTTCAATGCCTGTCCTCACCACCGCTCATTCCCAAACTTCTTTCTGTCTATCCTCCCGGTTGTCATTTGTGGGTACGATGTCTAAACATTCTGGCCCTAGATACGTATTAAAATAGCGGTAGTAGACAGGAGTTGCGGTCATTGTACACGCAGGGCAGTTTGTGAGCTGACCGTACACTTCAGGGCTCTCTGCTTCCGTGCGGCGGCTCGCTTTGCAAAATCAATTTTCTAGGCCTCATGCATGTTGCTTTGAAAGGTGCTGCCAAAAAACCCCGAAGGGGACATGGCAATTCCATGAGGGTTTCAGCAGGCTGGCTACACAGCGCCTGCGGCTTCCTAGTTTTAATTCCTTTGGATTAATTCCCCCTCTTAACTTTTAATGCCCGCCATCTTCCTGCTGCCCCCTCCCAAAGTTGGCTCTTTGAACGTGCCGTTTCCCACAACTTAACCTGAGTGCAACAGCAATTTTTAAAGGGTTAAAATGGTCTTAAATAGAAATCTGGTGGTTTAGCTTCTTGAACAACTCCAAATTCAGAAGGAAATGAGTGTGGTTCTGCCCGACGACTCTGCACCAGTAACCCCCGGAGACACGATCTGACTGTAGCTGTCCTTTTTTCGCTCGATTGAGCCGGTCCGTTTTGCCCGTGTGAAACTACGAGAGACCAAATTATCTGGGTATTGAAGTCCCGGGCCTTTGCCCTGTGTCCGAACCGTGGAGGAACCCTTTTGGCCCTCTCTCCCCCCTGGACATCCTGGGCCCGGCTTTGGGTGGCTGGGGAGGGTCTCTCGCCTTCTCGGGACCCCCGGCACGCTCTCCTTAGCTGGGGCTGACCTGGCTGGAGGAAACCGAGGACACCTCTGTCTTCTGGGCTGAGCTGGACACGTCGGACTCGTCGGTCATTGGTTTGCCACAAACGGTCTCCATGATGCAAGCCCGGAACTGGCAAGGAAAGGGAGTTGTTGTTAGCTCAGAAATGGAGAACGAGCGAGGTATCAGACAAAGAACAATGGCAGCTTAAACTGATGGAATATGCGCAGCTTTCAGATCTAACATATAGAATAAGAGAGCAAGAAGAAAATACGTTTAAAGGAGATTGGAAAATGTTTATTGAATATATGGGGCAAACTGTGTACACTTGAAAACGCTGGCAGCGTTCAGATAAATTCAACAGTGTAAATAAGTTTTGAAGGGTGTAATAATGGAATACTGAATGGTTTAGTTTTTGTAAAATATGCAGGGATTTATGTTATGCAAAATGAACCATGGAAAGAGAAGAAGGGAAATCATTGATATTTTAAGGTTGTTTAAATGAATATTCTAAATTGTAAAACAGAAAATAGTGTGTGTGTGTGTGTGTGTGTGTGTGTGTGTGTGTCCCTATTTTCCAGGGATTTGATCCTGGAATGTCCCACTTTTCCTTAAGTGGGAAATATCAGATAATATTGGAGGGTATGGAGTTATGCGATCCCCAAGTCAAAGAGACAACTTAGAAGACATCTGAAAGCAGCCCTGGACTGTGAAGTTTTTTTTTTTAATGTTTAACATTTTATTGTGTTTTTGTGCCAGCTCCACCTGGTACGCAGGCTGAGACCCCATCTGCCTGCAGACTGTCTGGCCAGAGTGGGGCATGCTCTGGCTATCTCCCGCTTGGACTACTGCCATGCGCTCTACGTGGGGCTATCTTTGAAGGTGACGTGGAAACTGCAATTAATCCAGAATGCGGCAGCTAGACTGGTGACTGCAAGCGGCCGCCGGGAACACATAACACCAGTCTTGAAAGACCTATATTGGCTCCCAGTACGTTTCCGAGCACAATTCAAAGTGTTGGTGTTGACCTTTAAAGCCCTAAATGGTCTCAGACCAGGAAACCTGAAGGAGCATCTCCACCCCCATCGTTCTGCCCAGACACTGAGGTCCAGCTCCAAGGGTCTTCTGGCGGTTCCCTCCCTGCGAGAAGTGAGGTTACAGGGAACCAGGCAGAGGGCCTTCTCGGTGGTGGCACCCGCCTTGTGGAACGCCCTCCCATCAGATGTCAAAGAGAAAAACAACTGCCAGACTTTTAGAAGACATCTGAAGGCAGCCCTGTTTAGGGAAGCTTTTAATGTTTAATAGGTTATTGTATTTTAGTGTTCTGTTGGAAGCTGCCCAGAGTGGCTGGGGAAACCCAGGCAGATGGGCAGGGTATAAATAACAAATGATTCTGATTCTGATTCTGATTCTGATTCTGATTCTGATTCTGATTCTGATTCTGATTCTGATTCTGATTCTGATTCTTATATATGTTGGAAGCCACCCAGAGTGGCTGGGGAAACTCAGCCAGATGGGCGGGGTATAAATAATAAATTATTCTTATTCTTATTCTTATTCTTATTCTTATATATGTTGGAAGCTGCCCAGAGTGGCTGGGGAAACCCAGCCAGATGGGCGGGGTATGTATGTATGTATGTATGTATGTATGTATATATATATAAATAAATACATACATACATACATACATACATACTATTAATGTTGGAAGATTCCCAGACCGGCTGGGGCAAGCCAGTCAGATGGATGGGGTGTAAAGAGAGCTGTGATTCCCCAGCGGTTTGATCCCTGAAAGCCCACTCCATTGCCTCTCGAGACAAATGGGATGCCGGCAGTGAATCGCAACCTTGCAGCCCCGCCATGTTTTGCGCCCCTTTCCCCGCCTGCGGAGCGGCTGGCTGGCGACTCACCTGCTTGTTCATGAAGCAATAAATGATGGGGTTGTAGACGCAGGCGGACTTGGAGAAGAAGGCGGGGATGGTGACCAATCGCAGGTCCAGGCCGTGGTCCCGGTTGTTGACCATGTACATGGCGAGCGCGGCGTAGGGGACGTAGCAGAGGCAGAACGACCCCACCATCACCACCACCATCCGAGAGACCTCCCGCTCGGCCTTCTGGGTCGTGGCCGACTCCTGCTGCTGAGCGGCTACCTGCAGAAGGAGGGCAGGGGGCAGGAACGTGTCGTTTTCCCAGAGCTGTAGCACCGTAGCAATTGCAAGGGGGCTCCCCAAAGGCCATCCAGCCTGACCCGCTGCGACACTCGCTTGGCAGTGGGCAGGTGGCCGATGCCCCCAGAACTACACAAAGGCGTTCGCTCGGCGGCTATCGGCGGCCGGTCGGGAGCACCATAGGGTGGGCTGCGGCCTAGTGCCGAGGGGGTGGTTCCATCAGCACAGCTGACGGCGGAACTCCCTGCCACAGGAGTGGCCGCCAACCTGTCCGGCTTTGAAAGAGGATTGGACAAATTTGGGAAGAGGAGAGGGCTTCTGAATACTGGTTGCTGGAAACGGCAGCAAAAAAAGGCTATCCTGGTAGTTATTGGTGTGTTGTCAAAACAGGATTAGTTTGATTTCCTAATCAGCTGAAAGCATGATGCCAGTAGAGGCTGGGTGAATTGGAGACTTGAGGAAAGGGCTCTGCAATGCTCATATCAAAAAGTATCTATTCCCCATGCATTTATACAATTTCATCATTTGCTTGCTAGTTATCTCCCACGTAGACTACTGCAATGCGCTCTACGTGGGGCTGCCTTTGAAGGTGACCCAGAAACTGCAATTAATCCAGAATGCGGCAGCTAGACTAGAGACTGGGAGTGGCCGCTGAGACCACATAACACCGGTCCTGAGAGATCTGCATTGGCTCCCAGTACGTTTCTGAGCACAATTCAAAGTGTTGGTGCTGACCTTGAAAGCCCTAAATGGCCTTGGCCCTGTATACCTGAAGGAACGTCTCCACCCCCATCGTTCAGCCCGGACACTGAGGTCCAGCGCCGAGGGCCTTCTGGCGGTTCCCTCATTGCGAGAAGTGAGGTTACAGGGAATCAGACAGAGGGCCTTCTCGCTGGTGGCGCCCACCCTGTGGAACAGCCTCCCTTCAGATGTGAAGGAAATAAGCAGCTATCCTATCTTTAAAAGACATCTGAAGGCAGCCCTGTTCAGGGAAGTTTTTAACGTTTGATGCTGTATTGTTTTTAACACTCGATTGGGAGCCGCCCAGAGTGGCTGGGGAAACTCAGCCAGATGGGCTGGGTATAAATAATAAATAATTATTATTATTATTATTATTATTATTATTATTATTATTACTTACAGGCTTCCCATTTAGGCGTTTGGTTGCACACAGTGAGAACAGTGGTACCTCAGGTTAAGAACTTTATTCGTTCTGGAGGTCCATTCTTAACCTGAAACTGTTCTTAACCTGAAGCACCACATTAGCTAATGGGGCCTCTTGCTGCCGCGCAATTTCTGTTCTCATCCTGAAGCAAAGTTCTTAACCCGAGGTACTACTTCTGGGTTAGCGGAGTCAGTAACCTGAAGCATCTGTAACCTGAAGCGTCTGTAACCCGAGGTACCACTGTACTGGGTTTGATCCAGCTGCAGGGGCCCTTGTCTTTTTAGCGTCTCCTAAGAAATGGCGCCCCTGGGATGCCAACATCAACCTGAGGTCCAGCAGGGCTTTCCTGATGTATCTGGCAACTCTGGGGAAGTGGGGTATAGTGGTTAAAGTTCCGGACTAGGACCTGAGAGAGACCGGGGTTCGAATCTCGACACGGCCAGCTCCCTGGGCGACCTTGGGCGCTCGCCGCTCCCTGTCCACCTCACCCTACCTCGCAAGGTTGTTGTGAAAGGGGTCGGAGGAGCTGGGCAGTAGGTACTTACGGCACGGAGAGCGCCCAGGAGCTGCGAGTAGGAGAAGACGATGAGGGTGAGGGGCACGATGAAGCAGAAGATGAAGAGGAACCAGGTGTAGTATTCACTCTTGTACTTGGTGCCAACTGTGTACCAGTCGGGGCCACAGGAGCACTGCAGGCCTTCGGGGATGAACCTGAAAGGCAGAGGAGAAGGGGTCAGAGGAGGACATTGGCTTTGTAGGAGCATATTTCCAAAATATGGTTTTCCCAGTAGTGATGTATGGAAGTGAGAGCTGGACCATAAAGAAGGCTGATCGCCAAAGAATGGATGCTTTTGAATTCTGGTGCTGGAGGAGACTCTTGAGAGTCCCATGGACTGCAAGAAGATCAAACCTCTCCATTCTGAAGGAAATCAGCCCTGAGTGCTCACTGGAAGGACAGATCCTGAAGCTGAGGCTCCAAGACTTTGGCCACCTCATGAGAAGAGAAGACTCCCTGGAAAAAACCCTGATGTTGGGAAAGATGGAGGGCACAAGGAGAAGGGGACGACAGAGGACGAGATGGTGGGACAGTGTTCTTGAAGCTACCAGCATGAGTTTGACCAAACTGCGGGAGGCAGTGGAAGACAGGAGTGCCTGGCCTGCTCTGGTCCAGGGGGTCACGAAGAGTCGGACACGACTAAACGACTAAACAACAACAACAACAACAGCAGCAGCTTCGTTGCTTCCAGACCCTTGACCATCTTGGTTGCCCTCCTCTGCACACCTTCCACCTTGCCAATACCCTTCTTAAATTGGGGTGCCCAGAACTGGACACAGTATTCTAGGAGGGATCTGACCAAGGAGGAATAGAGTGGGACTATGACTTCCATTCACCTGGACACTAGACTTCTGTTGATGCAGCCTAGAATAGCGATAGCTTTTTTTGCTACTGCATTATAAGGTTGGCTCATGTAGAGCTTGCTGTCCACCAAGACCCCTAGATCTTTTCCCCAAGTACTGCTAGTAAGCCAGGTGTCCCCCATCCTATGTGTTTAGGATGAGGAGATGGCATTGAAAGAACTGAGGAGTGGGGTTCCCATCCATCCGGAATATCTCGGACATATCTGGAGTATTACAGTCTGCAGAAGTGTCCGGGTGGAAATCAGAAAAACATCCAGGAAAATCTGGACATGGCGGCCCATGTCGGCAGTGCTGTTTTTGCCGATTTCTCATAAAAACAGCTCAAAAACTTTTCACTTTTTGAAATATGGCAACCCTGCTCAGGAGGGAACTCGCAGCAAGTTCAGCGATCCGTTCAGCGCTAGAGGCAGATCCAAACAGCGTTCCAAGGAAGAACAGCATTTGAATCCTTTGCACCAGGAGCAAACTCACAACCGGTCCGTAGACGTGCCATAACTAGCAGCCTTTCCCTCTTGAGTAGACCCTGAAGAAGAAGTGTCCTGTGTGACTCAGAACCTTGCTGACTATTTTCAGTTGCTCCTGCTAATAGCTACTGCACAGACCATAATATACAGTTAGAAGAATGGGAGAAGTTGTGGAATGAAGGTGTTAATTTTACAGCATGCAGTACGCTTCAGGAAAATGTTATGAAAGTGATGTATATGCGGTGTTTAACACCAGTTAAACTGGCCAAAATGTACAGAACTAAAATTGAATGTTGGAAATGTAAGGAAAAGGAGGGTAATTTTAATAATAATAGACTTTATTTGCATTAGCCAACGGCGATGGCAACATAAAACAAGCAATATATACAAATAAAAAGACAGAAATGGGTAAAAAGGGCAATCAAATGACCAATATTATTGTTCAGATAGTGGCCCTTAATCTCATTGCACCCTCGATAAACCTAGCAACCTTTGCTGTTGTCTGATCATTTAGATCTGATAAAAGAAAAGGAGAGTACTTTTTACGATCTGTGGTGGACATGTAAAGAGGTAAAAGCTTTCTGGGAAATGATATACAATGAGCTAAAGAAAATGTTCAAAAACACTTTTGTTAAAAAACCAGAAGCGCTTTTTATTGGGGATAGTGGGTAGAGAGATACCGAGACAAGATAAAAAATTGTTCTTATGTGCAACAACTGCGGCAAGAATTTTGTTAGCCCAAAGATGGAAACAACAGGAGTTACCAGCAAAATAAGAGAGGCAGATGAGGCCGATGGACTTTGCAGAACTGGCGAAACTGACAGGAAGAATCTGGAACCAGCGAGATCAAGCAATCCAAAAGGACTGGAACAAATTTATATTATATTTGAAAGACAACTGTAAGCAATTAACATCATTAGCAATGTGATCTGAAGATTTGTAAGATGAAATTGCTACCTAGTCAGGTGGAGTAATATAGTGTTTTAGGCAATGGTGTAACAAGGGTAGGAAACGAAGCAAAATGTAAAGGTGCAAAGTTTAGTTTTGTGAACCATCAGACGGGAGGGACGGAAGTCGTTAGGCTAAGACGAGCCAAAGAGATAAAATAATAGGGTACGATGTTACGCAATGTGATTATATTCAGGTAGGTAGCCGTGTTGGTCTGATGCAGTCGAAATAAATAAATAAATAAATAAATAAATAAATAAATAAATAAATAAACTGTCCAGTAGCAAACTTAGTTGGTACTGTTTTGGTGGGTACAGTTTTTGGGGGACAGGAGGCAGGTGGGTGTGGAGGACTCCCTGGTCCTGAATGGGATAACTGTGCCCCTGAAGGACCAGGTGCGCAGCCTGGGAGTCATTCTGGACTCACAGCCGTTCATGGAGGCAGGTCAGTTCTGTGTTCAGGGCAGCTGTCTGCCATCTCCATCTGGTACGCAGGATGAGACCCTCCCTGCCTGCAGACTGCCTCGCCAGAGTGGTGCATGCTCTAGTTAGCTCCCGCTTGGACTACTGCAATGCGCTCTACGTGGGGCTACCTTTGAAGGTGACTACAACTAATCCAGAATGCGGTAGCTGGACTGGTGACTGGGAGCGGCCACTGAGACCACATAACACCGGTCCTGAAAGACCTACATTGGCTCCCAGTACGTTTCCAAGCACAATTCAAAGTGTTGGTGTGGACCTTTAAAGCCCTAAATGGCCCGGCCCAGTGGACCTGAAGGAGCGTCTCCACCCCCATCGTTCTGCCCGGACATTGAGGTCCAGCGCCGAGGGCCTACTGGCGGTTCCCTCCCTGCGAGAAGCGAAGTTACAGGGAACCAGGCAGAGGGCCTTCTCGGTGGTGGCACCCGTCCTGTGGAGCGCCCTCCCTTCAGATGTCAAAGAGAAAAACAACTGCCAGGCTTTTAGAAGACATCTGAAGGCAGCCCTCTTTAGGGAAGCTTTTAATGTTTAATAGGTTATTGCATTTTAGTGTTCTGTTGGAAGCCGCCCAGAGTGGCTGGGGAAACCCAGCCAGATGGGCGGGGTAGAAATAATAAATTATTATTATTATTATTTATTTATTGTTACTGTACAATTTTTAAAAATACTTTAATTCATTTTGAATGTGGTTATATGTAAAACCAATAAAAATCTCACACACACACACACACACACACACACACACACACGAAAAGCTACTGCACAGGCTTCCAGTCTATGGACCTTCTCCCCAATCTGGGCATCGGAAGACCGCCTCCTTTTCCACCTCACCTGCTCCACCCAAAAAAGGGTGGGATTGACACTCCGATGCCAATGAACCAAGTCGCTGCCACCACCAGAAGGGCGTGTTTGGAGTTGAAGCGGAAGTTCCCGAAGGGCTTGCAGATGACGATGTAGCGTTCGAAGGCGAGGAAGGCCAAGGACCAGCCGGTGACCAGCCCTGGGGTGGGAAGACAGAAAAAGACAAGGGTTGATGAAGATCGGCAGCCGGCCAGGCCCCCAAGGGCACGACACACAAGGAAGAATGGACGGGGAGGGAGAAGGAAAAACGCAAGGGAAGGAATTACAGTCCTCTTGCAGGCCAGTTGGTTGCAGCGTAGCACTGTCGGGGGTTCTTCAGGGATTCTCTGGGCAGGGATAGATGTGTCTTATGGTCCCCCACAAGTCTCCAATTCTATTATTCTAATATACCTGAAGGAGTGTCGCCACCCCCATCGTTCTGCCCGGATGCTGGGGTCCGGCTCCAAGTGCCTTCTGGCGGTTCCCTCCCTGCGAGAAGCCAAGTTATAGGGAACCAGGCAGAGGGCCTTCTCGGTGGTGGCGCCTGCCGTGTGGAACGCCCTCCCACCAGATGTCAAAGAGATCAACACCAACTGACATTTAGAAGACATCTGAAGGCAGTTTTTAATGTCTGATGTTTTAATGTATTTTTAGTTGGGAGCCACCCAGAGTAGCTGGGGAAACCCAGCCAGATGGGCAGGGTATGAAAAATAAATTATTATTATTGTTATTATTATTATTATTATTGTTGTTGTTGTTATTATTATTATTATTATGCAATTGGGAGTCCTTTAAGTGTACTGAAAAGGCAAGGAAGACGAGACGTGAACCAGAATCCCCAACAAAGGCCAGCCGTTCTTCCGTTGCCATTCCCTGCGGGCTGGGCTGGATGACCTTTGAGCGACCCACCCGACACTGCAACTCTATTCTACTCCGCTCCTCCTCCGGGGCTTTTACCTGCCACCGAGCCCAGGAAGGCCTCCAGGGCGCAGATGTGTCTTCCGAAGAAGAAGTAGCCCTGCGAGCTGGCCAGGAAGACGGTGAAGACGGAGAAGACACAGAAGAGGAACCCGGCAAAGGAGATGTTGACCAAGATGTAGTTCAGCGGCTGGCGGAGCTTCTTGTATTTGACGGTGACCACCAGGATGATGGCGTTGAGGGGCGTCCCGGCGAAGAAGACGAAGCCCATGAAGGCCGTCTGGAAGTAGAAGGCCCACATTGGGGCAATGTGGTACTGGGGTCCATCCCAAGGACCCACCTTAGAGATGTTCTCAAAGAGGTAGAAGTCTTCTTCGCCGGACATCGTCCCTGGTGGCGCCGCGGGGACCGAGATCTGCCCGAGGGGCCCCTGCCCTCCTGTTATAGGAGGACGGAGGGGGCAATCCACTTAGAGGCTCGGCCCGGGATCAGGCACTAATCCTGATCATCCCAGAGGCAAACTGGAGGATTGAGGGCATCTAAAACCCTTACCTGCTGTCCCTTAAGCCCCTCTCAGGGGATAATCTCGTTTGCTGTCCAGATCGGAGCCGATTGCGAGGGACTCTTCGGGATGGCAGAGGGCAAGGCGACGCAGAGCCGTCTCTCTCTCCCCCCCCCGTTCGCTTCCCAGGAAGCCTCTCTCAAAAGCACTTTGTCGAATCGTAGAGTCGGGGACCCTCAGCGGTCATCTATCCCAACCCCCTTGAGATGCGGAGAACCGCAGCTATAGCAAAAATGACCTGGAAGACCAGAAACCAAGATGATCATAAATTTAGTAAAGGATGGTTTTTACTAAAAAAGGAACGCTGTAAACAATTAAAAATATCGGCAGGATTTTTTTTAAAACTGCTTGCAGTGTGGCAAGAACTATGGTGAGAACTGAGCATTCAGGAAATATGGAGAATGTTATACGATGCAGTCGGGAAAAAATAACTATGGAATCCATGGAGGGAAGTCAAGGATTTCAGAGAATCCTATGTATATTTTATTATGATTTACATGTGATTTTAATGGTTAATCGTAAAACTGAATTTAAAAGAGAGAGAGAGAGAATCACAGCATAGGAACCCAAATGGGACAACAAGAATTGGGATCAGAGGCTGGGGCAGCTGCTGTAAATTTGGGGTGTCCCTCTTGAAACGGGACAGTTGTGCTTTTTGCTCTTGTATCCCCTTCTCTTCTCCAGGCTAAATAAACCCAACTCCCTCAACGGTCCTCGCTCTCTCCCCCCATTCGCTCTCCACCCCACAACTGGAAACTGAATTCCCTCGACTTTATCAATGCACACGTCGTACATTTGAAGCACACATTATTTCCCTCCGAGTACAGTCATACCTCGGGTTACAGACGCTTCGGGTTGTGCGAATTCGGGTTGCGCACCGCGCCAAACCTGGTAGTACCAGAATGGTTCCTTCTGGGTTTTGGCGTTTGCGCATGTGCAGAAGTGCTAAATCGCGCTTTGCGCATGCACAGAAGCACCGAATTGTGCTTTGCGCATGCGCAGAAGTGTCGAATCGCGGCCCGCACATGCGCAGACACGTGGGTCGCGGATTGCGAACGCTGCTGGTTGCGAACGTGCCTCCCGCACGGATCATGTTCGCAACCTGAGCATCCACTGTAATCCTGGAAAGTGTAGTTGCCTAAGGGTGCTGGGAACCCGCAAGAGGCGGACTACAGTTCCCAGAATTCTTTGCAGGGAACGGTGTGCTCCATGACGATTTGTGCCCAGGATGCAACTGGGCTGGTTATATGTGACCTCACTTTTAATACAGTTCGTACCTGCGAAAGTTTCCGGACGGACAGACTGCTTTAGATCCAACCAGTCCGTGCCCTGCAGTTTCCTGTTGAAATCCTGTAGCTATTTCTACCACAAATGTTTTCCACTGCGTTCTCTCCCCTGTTTCCCTTTAGATGCTCTGTAGCTCGCGAGAGACCCTCTAGACGACAAGAACGGGTTAACATTGGGGGTAGCATCGCAGAACTACGAATAAAGTGAAATAACTTTATAAAATGTTCAGGGAAGTTTTTAATGTTTGATATTTTATCGCTTTTTTATTCTGTTGGGAGCCGCCCAGAGTGCCTGGGGAAACCCTGTCAAAAGGGTGGGGTATAAATAAATTATTATTATTATTATTATTATTATTACAGTGGTACCCTGGTTCTCAAACAACTTGGAACCCAAACACTGCAAACCTGGAAGTAAGTGTTCTGGTTTGTGAACTTTTTTCAGAAGCTGAACATGCTCTGTTTTGAGTGTTACGCTTCCGTTTTGAGTGCCACACTTCTCTGTTTGAGTGTTACACTGCGGTCTGTCTGTTTTTGCTATTTATTTTGCCTTTTTGCTTTTGCGGCTCTTTTTTGTGTGTGACTGTGTGGAACCCAGTTCAGCTCCTGACGGATCGATTGTGTGACTGCAGTACATCGTTTATCGCTTTCATTTTATGGATCCGTGGTCTCGTTAGAAAGTAAAATTCATGTCAAATTGCTGTTTTAGGGGTTGTTTTTAAAAGTCCGGAACGGATTCATCCGTCTTGCATTACTTTCTGTGGGAAAGCGCGCCTCGGTTTTGGCACTCTTTGGTTTCGGAACGGATTAAGTTGGAGAACCGAGGTACCACTGTATTATAACTTGCGGGTGGAATGAATGTTGACGCACCAAGTTGCCTTGTTAAAAGCACAGCAACAGCGGCTAGTTGGAAAGTTGGCAACCCAAATGGTAGCGAGCCTGCTTGGGATTTGGGCCTCATCGTCTGCCTATTCTTCCACCCCCTTTCCCCCCAAATAAATGGGGTTTTCTCCTCTTTAAGGGCAGAGGGGTAAATGTAGCTTAAGACACTCCTCTGTGTGTTAAATTCCCATTTACTTCGCAGAATCCAGTCTGCCCAATTCTCCCCAGGGCCAAAGGGGTTAAGAGTTTTGCTCCCCAGCATGTGAGCATGTGAGCGCCATATGGGAATGTGGCGCATCACCCTGTTCTTTGACTGCCAAATGCAGAGAGAAGGTAATTTGAGCCTGCAAATTACCAGCCGGCCTGAAGAGAACATCTGGAAGAGCTATAAGCAACTGGCTCGTTGGTCTAGGGGTATGATTCTCGCTTAGGGTGCGAGAGGTCCCGGGTTCAAATCCCGGACGAGCCCTCCTTTTTGAACTCTGACTAGGCAAAGGAGAAGACAAGCTGAAACCACAAATGCAATTACCTTTTCTGAAAATCCAGATTTACCAGTGCAAATCACCTGGGGCCGCTCGTTTCTGGCCAGCCTCCCCTTTTGGCCACGATCCAGTCGCTTGCCAGCAAATTCAGGTTGTGCAATTAAAGTTGATTAGGGAGGCTTGTGCAACAAACACGCTTCTCCAAAAGATTAAGAGTTTATTTATTTATTTTTTAATGTTGCAATACAATCTATGAAATCTTTACATAATGATACATCTACATTATATTCGTAAATTCAGATTTTCACATTTCATTATGTACCAGCATTTATCCATTTCTTATTTCTTGCCCTGTGCGTGACTTCCTTGTTATTATTTTGTAATTTTGAGATTGTAATTTTTGTATCTTAATAATTAAACATTCAATCTTATATATCTGATTAACTTAACTTTGTGAAATTAGTCTATGCATAGCAATAAATTCTTGTTGGAGCATCTTTTGGCCATGTATTCTTCTACACATTTCCATTCCTATTTGAGATTTTGATTAGACTGCATTCTAATTAGAAAGATTAAGAGGGTTTTGTTTTTGCTGATGGACGCAGCACCATTAAACTTCCTTGCAACAAATAAGAATTTGTAGCGAACAAGCAGGGGGCCTGGATAATAACGCAATATTTCTAACCTGGGGGAAATTATCTGGATCTTTTGCTAACTAATTCAGATAAAATATCCGCTGCGGCTGACATCTTGCCATGGGCGTGTTTTTGTGGCCATCTTTCCTATCCAGATCAGTGGGAATTATTTACTCCCGTGTAAGGATGGGGCTCTCTTTGGAGGAGACCGAGCTACAGATAGGGAAGTCACCAGTTCGAATCTTGCCAATTCAGGAATTGGATTTATTATTGCCCCTTTGACACCAGGTCCCAGGAGTGGATTGCTACAACTTAAAACGGACATGGCCAAACCTGGCCCTCCAGATGTTTTAGGACTACAACTCCCATCATCCCTAGCTAGAAGGAACAGTGGTCAGGGTTGATGGGAATTGTAGTCTCAAAAAACATCTGGAGGGCCGAGTTTGCCTCTATGCCTGATTTAAAATCCAGTATCTTAAATATTGGATTAGACAAATAATATAGGCTCAGGCTACCTGCCCACAGACTGTCTCTCCAGAGTGATGCATGCTCTGGTTATCTCCCGCTTGGACTACGCAATGCGCTCTACGTGGGGCTACCTTTGAAGGTGATTCGGAAACTGCAATTAATCCAGAATGTGGCAGCTGGACTGGTGACTGGGAGCGGACGCCGAGACCACATAACACCAGTCTTGAAAGACCTGCACTGGCTCCCAGTACGTTTCTGAACATAGGACGCGGGTGGCGCTGTGGGTTAAACCACAGAGCCTAGGACTTGCCAATCAGAAGGTCGGCGGTTCAAATCCCCACGACAGGGTGAGCTCCCGTTGTTTGGTCCCAGCTCCTGCCAACCTAGCAGTTCAAAAGCACTTCAAAGTGCAAGTAGATAAATAGGTACCACTCCGGTGGGAAGGTAAACGGTGTTTCCGTGCGCTCCTCTGGTTCGCCAGAAGCGGCTTAGTCATGCTGTCTGCGGACAAACGCCGGGATCACCAGATGTTGGGTTGAAAATCACGACAGACGAGTGGTAGGTGTCATATGAGAGGCGTCTGCCGGGGCAAGCCCCAAGAACTCTCTTTTATTGAATATTACAAACATTGCCACAGGTGTGCTTGTGGCTGATTGGTTGATACAAACACAAAGCATCTTGTTGCTGATTGGTTAACATAGGTACAAGGCGGGAATTACATATATCCATTTATCACTGATAGATCAAAGGCTGAGAAATGGAGCTAGAACTAGACAGGCATGAATCCTCCTAATTAAATTATAACTAAAGATTAATATAACATGACTAAAACAATTACTAATGATTGATCATAACATGAAAGAATATAATAATCAAGTTCCGTAGATGTGGTCAGCTATGCATTAAGAACAGACCAGAACAGACCATATTGTTTTGGTCATGAACTTGAAATGAACTGAAGAATGAGAGAATGTCTTGGTGTGTTAGGCTTGGTGTGTTTGGAACAGTATGTGCAGAAGCAGAAGCGAGACTTCCCAGAATGCAAGAGAAAAGAAGCAATAGTTCTCATAGCA